CACTGGTCGTGGGTTCGAAACTCGAGTGTAGCGGCAGTTTCTGTGGCTATACCGGAGTCAGGTAACTGCGACTGACGACGGCTAATGAGCCAGAAATACGCGTATCTCGCAGTCCTAACGTTTGCCGGTAATACATTGGTTACATTTATAGCTTTCTATTTTAATTTTCAACTTCCAAATAAACCACAAACTATTATTTGAAGACACTCCATCCACACTATGGTCTTATCAGGCATAATAAAAACCCTTTTGGCACTAACGCGGATACTAACGTCCGCAATGTCCTCTATTTCCACCTCCTTCTTCGTGATTTACCGAACGATACTTTTATTCGTGGCTTAGTGTGGTGTAAGTGTTCATTTCTTTCAGAATTTCCGGGAATGCTACCTTTTCGTGGAACACCAGTACTTTCTTCTGGCTCTTGTGCTCGCTGCCAGACGTCTAAGGAGCAAGGAAATTGGGAATAACATTAGGACGCCTATGCAAAATAAAGATAAATATGCCATGTACACAAATACACAGGAGAGCATTAGAAGAAAAGAGGCTTGCACAATGAACTGACACATTCCCATGAGGCAACGTTTTGGGGGTACAGCTAATCAGTGCCAGGAACCATTAATGGAGTTCCCTGATTTACTACCCTAAAAACGCCAACCAACAGTATATCAGGCAGTATTACGTCTAAGCATTTGAGCTTCACAAGCTGCACTCTATTTCCCCGGGAGCTTTGTGGTTGGAATTTATGTATGGCTTGGCGAACACTGTTTAAAAAACAAAATTACTCTGATATTACATCATATATTATTAATAGTATTATTAGAAAACTCGTGAAGATTCGAGGTCCATATATCTTATCGTTTTCATAATCCTCCAAACAAGAAGAGAAAGGGAAGAGGATATGGAACGAAGTCTATTTGGACGGGCGTTTTGCTAGCACTCTCGCTTCCACCCTCAGAGAAAAGTGGTGGTTCTTCCTGCTGGCCGTGACTGTTTCAACTTTGATACCTGTCTGGTATTATAGCCGCGCTCGACGCACGAACTCTGGCCTGCCTGTTCGCCGCTGATTAGTGTTGACGTCTCCGAGACTGTCCGCTGGGGAACTCGCGTGAACTTTGCCCCCCTTTGCAACCGTCATACTTGCTAGCAAGTTAGTGTGCATTCTGGCGTGCCCCTCGTCAGCCAACGGACTCATCCGTACTGGATCCCCGTGTGAATTGATGTCACTCTCGTGGGCATAGCGCTGAGGTGGTGTTACACGTCGGCCACGTGGTTCCTGGCCGGCTCCTCTCACATTTAACTTTGACCTCAGTTGTCTTCCACGCGGGAATTTTCTCGGCCGTCTTGTTGGACTTGCTCGAACTGACTGCAGCCGTGTGCCTGGTAGGCGGGATGTAGGTCTATGGCTCTGTTAAGTGTGCCAGTCGAGGACCAAGTTTCCAGCAGCAGACTGGCCATCTTGTCCTTGGCTCAGCCTATTACCCTCGCTTTATCAAAGGCGAAACTGTAGTTCCTTTTATGTAATTAGTCGTAGCCCATAGGCAATTGCGAGCTGGTGCTCATGCAAAGATGTTTGTCCGTTTCAAAAACATACCTTACATCACCGTTTTGGCATGGTAGGCCGTAGACCACTGCTGATTGTTTTGTCAATGGTAGAGGGTCATTGGGCCTCATTATTTGCTGTCTAATGATTGACTCCGGCTTATGAGCCACATCAATTCCGAATGGTTTCAGGATTCTTGCCATCGCCTCCAATACGTTCCTCACATAAGGTATGACTAGCCAGAGCTTGGGGTATTCTCCTTTCGACCGCTCAAAGTGAGGCTTCTCAAGACACTTGCTTATGAAGCACTTTGGATAATCGTCTACTTGAAATAGAGCATGCACGAAAAGGAAGCTCCACTTTGAGTGATCGAAAGAAGACCCCATATTCTGCTTCATAATCCCTTATGTGAAGAATATATCGGAAGCGACAGCAATAATCCTGAAG